GCAAGCTCCGCCTCCCGGGTTTAGGCCATTCTCCTGCCTCAGCCTCCCGAGTAGCTGGGACTACAGGCGCCCGCCACCTCGCCTGGCTAATTTTTTGTATTTTTTTGGTAAAGGCGGGGTTTCACCGTGTTAGCCAGGATGGTCTCGATCTCCTGACCTCGTGATCCGCCCGTCTCAGCCTCCGAAAGTGCTGGGATTACAGGCTTGAGCCACCACGCCCGGCCAAATATGTCCCTAATTTTCATTACCAGTTCACTTGGAAGCGTTTCGGGCAGCGTTGCAGAAGCCAACCCTAGTCAGCATGACCCTCCGCTTTGGGATGAAATTGATTCTTGGTAGAGTTGACATAGGGTTGAGCGTGGCAGCCTTTCCCCTTGTTCTCTGTGCCCTCTGGGTCACGCTCATTCCCCTCCACTGCCCAGCCCAACAACTTGGAGGCAGGAGAGAAGGCAGCCCCCAGAGCTGCCCTAGACTCCCGTCTCATCTCTCCCCACAGGCAGTTTCTAAACCGGGATGACATTGGCATCATCCTCATCAACCAGTACATCGCAGAGATGGTGCGGCATGCCCTGGACGCCCACCAGCAGTCCATCCCCGCTGTCCTGGAGATCCCCTCCAAGGAGCACCCATATGACGCCGCCAAGGACTCCATTCTGCGCAGGGCCAGGGGCATGTTCACTGCTGAAGACCTGCGCTAGGGGACTCCTCACAGCCCTCAGCCCTTCCCTCGTTTCCAGGCCTCTCCGCAGGCTTGCCATCAGCCTTCTTTACTTTTTGAGCCTCTGATTTCCAATTCCCTGCCCATTCCCACTCCATTAAGAGGTTAGGTGAGGCATTTCTAGGTTGCTGGGGCTCTGCTGTTAAAGCTGGTTAAGGAACAGGAAGCCTGACCATCTCCCTCCACTACCTGTTCCCTGTGCTGTTACACAGTGTCATTGTTGATGTTAAATTAAAGTCATATTCTTGCTTCTCTCCAAACGGGCTGGGTGCTGGAAAGTGCATGTGTGGGGTGAGGCCATGGGGCAGATTCAATTGGCAAGGATGGAAAAGGTGCTGCCAAAGACAGGCATAGAAGAGCTGGCCCAGGAGGATCGTGCTGGGAGGCAGAACTCAAGGACTGGTCCTTGGATCAGAGAAGACCAGCTCTGGTCTGGGAAGGATTGGGAGGAAGCTTGAGCCCAGCCCCCACCTCCCCCACCTTGCTCAGCATTGGGCTGGGAAGGGGGCCAGACCCAAAGGACAGACGCAGAAAGCACACAAAACCTGGAAGCCTCTGATGCCAGATCCCGCGTGGGCCCTGCGGGAGGTTTGGGGAGCAGGGCTCTTAGCCAGTGGGCCCTGGCCCCAGGCTGCCTCAGGAAGCTGGGTTCATGGGGTCTGCTGGGAGCACAGCAAGTAGAACCCTGGCCCTGTGTGAGGTGAGGCATGGTTGCTAGGTGACTGCCAGGGCAGCCACTTGCCATCAGAAGCACTCTGCTTGCTGTGCTCACCCCTCAGCTGCAGCCACCCTGGTGCCACTCCTTCCCTGGCCACCATGTCACGGCAGCTCAACATAGACACGTTACGGCAGAACTTCTGGAAGGAGGAATATCTGAGGGAAAAGATGTTGCGCTGTGAATGGTACCGCAAGTATGGGTCGATGGTGAAGGCCAAGCAGAAGGCTAAGGCTGCAGCCCGCCTGCCCCTCAAACTGCCCACCTTGCACCCCAAAGCCCCACTCTCACCCCCACCCGCCCCCAAGTCAACCCCTTCCAAGGCGCCCAGCCCTGTCCCAGAGGCTCCTTTTCAGTCAGAAATGTACCCAGTACCACCTGTCACCCGAGCCCTGCTGTATGAAGGCATCTCCCACGACTTCCAGGGGCGCTACCGCTACCTCAACACTCGAAAACTGGACATGCCAGAGACGCGATACCTCTTCCCCGTCACCACCAGCTTCACATACGGCTGGCAGCTGGGTGAGCCCAACCTCTTGGAAATCACCTCAAAGACAGAGCACCTGCCATGTCCTAGGGAGTGGGCATCCTAGTGAAGGGTCCAGACCATAAACAGAGCAAGGAGATGACCAAGAAGTGTCAACATGTGCCACAGAACTAGGGAGTGGTGGTGGGCGGGGAGGCAGCGGCCATGTGCTGCTATTTATTGGATTTTCAGGAAAGGCCTTTCTGAGGACCTGAGGCCAACAGCCAGATGATAAGGATGGGTTTGGATTTTATTTGGTGTGCAGGGAAGCTGATGGAGGGTTCTAAGCAGGTTTCAAGAGTGACACTGATGAACCTTTTAAAAAGTCACCCTGGGCCGGGCGCAGTGGCTCACGCCTGTAATCCCAACACTTTGGGAGGCTGAGGCATGCGGATCACAAGGTCAGGAGATCGAGACCATCCTGGCTAACATGGTGAAACCCCATCTCTACTAAAAATGCAAAAAATTTGCTGGGCGTGGTGGCGGGTGCCTGTAATCCCAGCTACTCAGGAGGCTGAGGCAGGGGAATGGTGTGAACCCGGGAGGCGGAACTTGCAGTGAACCGAGATCTTGCCACTGCACTCCAGCCTGGGCGACAGAGCAAGACTTCGTCTCAAAAAAAAAGTCACTCTGACCTGTATGTAGGCAGTGGCTTTTTCAGGGGAAATGGTAGAATCTGGCACTGAGTTGGGCATCTATTTTGTTACCCTGTGGTAGTGGCCTGAGGAATCAGTAATAGAGCTGAAATCAATTCAGGATGTTTTGGGGGAAGACTCAGTGGAACTCACCCATGGATAGAATGTGAGAATAAGGGGAAGAGAGAACAATCGCCCAGGTGTTTAGCTAAAGCCGCAGTGACAGGGAAGACTGGGAGAGGTCAGGGCTGGAGTGTGCATGAACAGGTCCTGTTTAGTCATGTGTGTTTGCCTATGTTATGCTTGAAGTGTCTGTAGGGTGACTGTGTCTATAAATCTGGATTGAAGTCAGAGCTGAAGATGCAAATTCGGAGGTCATTTGAATATAGGTGCTTTTTTTTTTTTTTTTTTTTTTTGAAGCAGAGTCTCACTCTGTCACCCAGGCTGGAGTGCAGTGGCATGATCTCGGCTCACTGCAACCTCTGCCTCCCAGGTTCAAGAGATTCTTCTGCCTCAGCCTCCCAAGTAGCTGGGACTACACAGGCACGTGTCACCATGCCTGGCTAATTTTTGTATTTTTAGTAGAGACAGGGTTTCACCATATTGGTCAGGCTGTTCTCCAACTGCTGACCTCGTAATCTGCCCACCTTGGCCTGCCAAAGTGCTGGGATTACAGGTGTGAGCCACTGCCCGGCCTATAGGTGCTATTTAAATCCATGAGATCACCTAGGGAGCTCAAGTTGCTGGAATCTGATGGGAGTAGGGGCAGGAGGGCTGAGCCAGAGGCTGGTAGGGGATGGCGTAGGCAGGAAGGCTGTCCATCTGGGCTGAGTCTTTTTTCTGTGAGGTTGAGTCAAGGCCATCAGTGGGGAGGGAGCCGAGCTCAGGCAGTGGAGTAGCAGAGATGAAGAGGAAAGGTGTGGAACAGGCATGTGCCAGAGAGGGCTGCTGGGCGATGTTGCTGCACGTCCCATTGCTGTCTGTGCTCATGAATGTCAAGTGAGACTCCTCGGCCCTGTGTCCTTCTCCAGCTGCTTGAGTGTCTTGCAGAAAAGGTGGATGGTTGGGGATTGACTCAGTTGAGATTTTGCCCCCAAACATCCCTTTCCCCCAGGCCCCTAAAGGGAAAGTCAGGGAAATAACTTTCTAACAAAAGCAGGAGGCAAGCCCTAGAAGGGGGGAGCAGGAGACAGAAGGAAGTCCCATCTCTTCACAGTCTGTCCCTGTGACAAGCAGGCTAGGGTGGCCCCCCTCCTGGCAGGTAGAGGATCCTGAAGCTGGGGTAATGATGGCAGATGGCTGCTGTATGTATCCTGGCCTCCAACCAGCTCCCAGTATTTGCAGGTAGCTCCCATGCCTCCAAAGCATTTTCTGTTTCTTCCCACAAAGTGGCTACTCCACTGACGGATTCCTAGGGCTGTGCAGACAGACAGGGCTCCCATGCTCTGTGTGTCCTTCCCTCAGGAACCCATGTTTGGCCTCTAATATCTTTTCCCAGGCCCCCCAGTGAAGCAAGAACTGGTCTCCTGCAAGATGTGCCGCATTGAGTCATTCTTCCGCAAGAACGGGGCCTTCGCACTGCTTGATCCCCGAGACCTGGCCCTCTGACGGTGGGCCAGGTGTGGGCTTAGGGGAGGGAAGAAGAAATAACAGGCCTCCTGGTGGGGCAAAGCTGTTGTGTGTGTCTGTGCTCCTCTGCCCTCCCTGGCCCTGAGGCTGCATTCAGGCCTTTCTGAAACTATCTGACCTGCAAAAGTTGCCCTCTTGCTTTTTCCGTAACCCTCATCTCTTTAATCATCCCTTTGAGTACCCAGCAATGACCAGAGGGGGCTGGGAAGGGCGAGCACTACTCTGCAGGCACGGGATCCGCAGCACCAGGGGAACACAGTAGTTCCAGGAAGTTCTGAGTGTTCCTGCGGAGAGAGCGGCCTGTCGTCTCGGAGGCCAGGGAAAGGGGACTCCTACCACCGCCACGAGCCTCCTTGCCCGCCCCTCACCTGGCCCCGAGGGCCCGCAGCCGCCCGGTCCTCTCCTGATGCATCTGTTCCAGCTGCTCCTGCAGGGCGCGCCGCCGCCCAGTCGCGTCCTCCTGGCGGTGCAGATCGCTGAGCGTCCGCGGCTCAGTGGGGCGGGCGGGGCAGCACCTGGCACACCCGCCCCTCGCGCCCCGCCCGAGTCACTGCCAGAGTGCAGTCCGCTCACTTCAAAGGGACCCGGGCGCACTAAACTCGGCCCCTACCCGTGCAGGTTCCTTGTGGCCCCACCGCCTTCTGGGGGTCTTGCCTGTGGCGGGAGTTGAGCCAGGCTGGGCGGGAGCCCCACGGGGTGAACCCAGCAGTGGCGGTTCCTGGCGATGTGGAGGCGTTCCAGGACCTGCAGAGGGGCAGTCAGCGTCCGGCCGCCCCTCGGTGCCCCGCCCGCCCCAGGCAGGCCCCAATCCCTGCGTGGGGACGCACCCGGAGCCACTGCTGCTCACGGTCCCGCCGGCGCCGCCACCTGGCTGCGCTGTGCAGCGCCAGCAGCCGCTGCAGAGCCGTCTCCTGCCGCGCCGCGCTCAAGCCCGCAGGCGCCTTGGCCTTGCCTAGGGGCGCCGGCCACGCGGCCTTCGAGGCCTTGGGACGCTCAGGACCGACCCCCCGACCCCGGAGGGCACCCGGAAGCCGAGCCTGGCCCACCTCCTCCTCTCCCGGGCCAGGGCCCACTCCAGGGCCCTGCAGCCCGTGCGGATTGCGCTCCGGGTCTGGGGTACCCCGAAGACCCCCGGGGAGCCCCTGCTGCCCGGATACCTTGGCGCGCAGGGTCGCTGGCATCACAGCTCCGGCTCCGCGACCTGGAAGCAGCTGCCGGGCCGGGGGCTTCGGGCTGGGAAGCGCAGCCCACGCCCCCTCCTTGGCGACCCCTAGCTTTGCCACCGCCGGTGCCGACTGTTGTGTCTCGCCTCTGATCCTGTCCTGCATCATCGCGGTAGTCCTTCTCCGGAGGTCTGGGCTCTCCCTGCCCACAGGCTTTGGAGTCTGTGCTTTCAGGGACCCGCAGGAGTCCCATCGATGGCTCCGGGAGCTGCCTTCCTCTGGGAGCTGTACAGTGGCCTCCCCGGGAGCCACCTCCCAGGCTTGTGAGATACTGCCTTCCCAAGACCGCAGCATCTTCTTCCCCAGACTCTGGGGACTCGCCTTTCCCTGGCACTTAGGACTAAATTCTCCTCGACTCTGAGGAACGCCCGTGTTCTCACCCAGGGGGGCCTCCTCTCTCTGACCCTGAGGAGCCCTTGGGCTCTGGCCCCTCTGTGTCTTCACCCTCTGACGCTGAGGAGCATCTTTGATCTCGCCCCGGGAGGCCTCCCCTCTCTTATGCTGAGGGGTCTCTGCTTTCTGATCCTGAGGGTCCTCCTCTCTCAGACTCTGAGGGGTGTCCATCCTTGGCGGTCTTTGAAGTTCTGCTCTCTCCTGGCCCAGGTGCGGGTCCCAGCCCAGTCCTTCAAGGGCATCTTGGGAAGGCAGGTTTTGGGAGGGCAGGTCCCCCGGCCCAGGGGTCCCGGGAGTGAGCTTTCTTTCCTGGGTCTCAGGTTCTGCCTCACTCCTCTCTTCCCTCTGGGCCAGGTCCTGGAAAGGAAGAGCACTTTGGGCCCAGGCTTGAGAGGGAACCTGCAGACCCGACCCCAGGGGCCAGCCCTTGCCTGATTCCTGAATTTGTTAAAGCCATTTAATGTAGTGTGGAAGGTGCTTCACTGAAAAGCCTCCCCCTCACCCCAGCAGCCTCCTCCCATGCAGACCCACCCCTGCCATCCCCAACCTGAGACGCTTGACCTTTTCACCTTGTACTCTGAGCTGCCTGGCACCCCAAAGCTCCTCCTGGTAGTGGGGTTCAGCTCTTTTAAGGAGCCTGAGGAAGAAAGACCGGTGTTGGGAGCTCATGTCCCCTCGTGCACAGTCCACCTAGACTAGAGCCAGGAAGTTTAGGGAGTCCCAGCACCTGGCTAGGGGTGCCCTGAGGGCGCTGTCTGAACCTCAGGCTGTCACAGTTCATCAGCCAGCCACGCACTTATTTGTCATGTGTGCCTGCCAACAGCCCACCCCATCCTTCTCATCCTCCCAGCCAAGGCAGACCACTCCAGGGGGACCTGCACAGCCTCCTCCTCAAGACCACCACGGGAGGCCTGGCAGTGAGAAGGGTCATGGTGCTGGGCGCCTGGGTCCCTCAGCACCGGCTACTCCCACTTTGTCCTGGTGTGCCCATCAGGCCCAGAGAAGAAACCCGCTCTGGGCATCTTACTTTTTACTCTTACTTAGAAGAAATCTCCCTTAGCCTTTTCTTTGTTTCTGACAGCAAAATCAAAGGAAATTCAAGATGAAATTTTAGGCCAGAGGCTGGCCTAAAAACTGCAAGTGTTCATAATTAACAAAAGAAATCTAAAAACAGAGATGATGTGTTGCCGCTCCCCTGCAGCTGTGGAAGGAGGAGCGCTGTTCTGCATCCATAAAACTGGTTAAAAGGGATTTCATAAGGTCTGAAATGGAGATCTTTCCCAAGAATACTGCAGCTTGTTCTCTTGTGCAATATCAGACGTGTGAATATTCATAACAGTAACCAAATGGGTGCACTCTCTGTGAAAACACATCTTTCAAAGAGTTGTTTGAACAAAGGAGTCTTGTAAGACTCCTGGGCCTTTAGAAATAATTGCCACAAACTGCAAAAACAACCTCCAACCTCCCGCCTCTAATTCTCATCGGTTGTCTTACTAGAAAATTTATTTCTCTGGTAATGTTATAATTGATATCCCTGTCTTCTCAAGGTATATATCCCTGTCTTCTCAAAATACTTGTAAAAACTTCTCTGTCAATCAGAAAATAATTATTGGCAGTTTTCTTCTCTCTCATGTGCGTGGTGGAACAATAAAAAGCTTGTGGCTTTGCTACATCTATTATTTAACAATTTGAGAGTCTGTTTCATTTAAATTAATAGGCTCAAGGCTCATAGTATCCATTCCACTGCCTGTTTATTGTCATGCTGTTTCTAGCCTGTGATCTAAAGACAGGCACCCAGTCTCCTTGATCTCTGTATATCTCCAGTGCCCAGCTGAAGGGTGGCAAAGAGGTGGCCTGTGCCTGGCTGAAGGGTGGCAAAGAGGTGGCCTGTGCCTGGCTGAAGGGTGGCAAAGAGGTGGCCTGTGCCTGGCTGAAGGGTGGCAAAGAGGTGGCCTGTGCCTGGCTGAATGGTGGCAAGTAGGCGGCCTGGAGTTGGTATTGTGTTCCCTCGTCCCTGGGCAGCCAGTGATGCTCATTCCTGAACTTTCTCCCCTGAACCCCAGTTTAGCATCAGAATCCTACTGGACGCACTGCCTGAGACAGCTGGTACCAACCAGGTGGAATTGGCACATCAAATAAAACCTACTTGCCATCGCTGGGTGTCCTGGCACTCCATCAGGAAGTGTGAGATGAAGAATGAGTGAAGAATGAAGTCCTGGGACTTGGGGAGAGGACTTTCCTGCCTCATCCCAATCCAGTCTGGCTGCCCCTGCCCTCCCAGTTGTCTGACAACGTACCGCGTGTGGGCTCTGCAGGTCCTCCAGGGCTCTCCCACCCTTGGCCTGCACCACTCCCGGCTTCACCCAGATCTGGGGCCGATGATGGGTCTCCCGCCTGCCCCCTGCAGGAGTTCAAGGGCTGCCTCTGATGCACCTCTCTGGGCCCATGGGCTCTGGAATGGGAGGGAGTCTGCCTGCCAGTCTCCAGAGACCCCCACCCCAGCATGCAAACACTTGAGGCCCCCAGTGCCCTCCCTCCTCCCCCATCACCAGATCCTGGGAGCTGGAATTTGGAGATTAACCTTTCCAGGGGCCGTGGGGCAACCATGGGTGCAACTAAGAGCCCAGGAGGCATAACGAAGGGCACTGGCAGGACTGCAGAAGGTGACCGAGAAAGAGCCCAGTTCACAGAGGGAAAGGCAGGATTCCCCAGGGAGACTCACCCTTCCAGGAGCTGATGGTTCTGGCTCAGGGAGTCCCTGTCCTGGGGTAGAAGGTGCAGCCTAGAATTCTGGAAGGGTTGGGGACAACCTAGTCCACATGGCTCCATCCCCCAGTGTGGCTGCCAGGCTTTAAGATGGCCCCTAAATGATCCCTGCCTCCTGGAATTCATACCCTCTGTGCCCGCCACTTCCCCTCCACGCAAAGGAGCTTGGAAACGGATCCCTCCTCCCAGTTGAGTCTCAGATGAGACCACAGTTCTTGCCAGCAATGTCGGCTGAACCCTTCCTAAGTTGCACCACGAACACCCGCTCCTGCTACAGCTGAGGGTGCCTTGGCCCAGAGAGGGCTACTAACCTGCCCAAAGTGACTCAGACAGCTGCTGGCTGAGCCAGGACTGGGACCCACATTCCCAGTTCCCCACTCTGTTCTGGGCCCAGTCACCACAGCACCCCCTCCTGGAGTCTCAGCCCAGCTGCAGCCCTGGAGGGAGAGGCCGATGGCTGGGGCTGTGGGCGCCTGTGTCTCAGCGGCACACTTCATTGTCTTTGCTCTCTGGGGCCCTGCCAGGCTGCTTTCCTCCCACGTGGCGGTCACATGGAAAGGCTTCCAGGTATCACCACACAGGTGATTTGACCAAGACAGTCGTTAGCTGTGGAATGAGAATAACGGCCTGCCTGGAAGAGCAGGCCCTGTGTGCCAGGCGTAGTCCACTGTTCCTCCTGACAGCCCTTGGAGAAAGATCTCTTCTTGTGGGTGTTTTCTTTCTTTCTTTTTTTTTTTTTTTTTGGCGGGGGAGTTGGGGGTAAACGGAGTTTGGCTCTTGTTGCCCAGACTGGAGTGCAATGGTGCAATCTCAGCTCACCGCAACCTTCACCTCCCAGGTTCAAGCGATTCTCCTGCCTCAGCCTCCCAAGTAGCTGGGATTACAGGTACAGGCATGTGCCATCATGCCCGGCTAATTTTTGTATTTTCAGTAAAGACGGGGTTTCTCCATGTTGGTCAGACCGGTCTCAAGCTCCCAACCTCAGGTGATCCGCCCGCCTCAGCCTCCCAAAGTGTTGGGATTACAGACGTGAGCCACCGTGCCCGGCCTCATGGGCATTTTCTAGCTGAGGAAAGGTAGACTCAGAGCCCACAGGGGGTTCAGCATGGAGATTCGAACCCAGCCCTGTCTCCAAAACCGTGCCCCTTCTACTTGCCCTCACCACAGCAGGGCCCCAGTGTCCCCAGAACCTCTGTCCCCGCCGTGCCCCCTCACCCACTCACCAGCTGCTCGGGGTCCCCACCCTTGCTACCACCTGGCTGACAGTGCTGGCTCCATGCATGCTGGGCCTGGCCCCTCGGACCGAAAAACTGGGCCTGGGGTGGCCAGAAGAGGCCCAGCTCCACACCAGTCAGCAGCTCCAAGTCCCACAGGAGCTGCAGGAAGATGGGGTGCCAAGGCGTGAGGGGGCACCCACCCTGGCCTCAGCCACACCCCCGGCCAGCCCCTACCTGCTCCTGGGCCCGCCGACTTCGCTCCATCTGCAGCAGCACAAGGGGCAGCTCCAGCCCCCGGGGACACCCGCAGCCTTTTTGCACCTGGAGGGGCAAGGTGACGTCAGGCCCCCGGCTGTCTCCTTCCTTCTAAGGCAGTGCCCCTCCCTCACCTGCCAAAGTGCAGCCCGGAGCTGGCCTGGACCTGCGGGGCACCGGAAGAGATACTGGTACAAAGCCAAGGCCTGCCTGGGGCTACAGGGGAGCCCTGAGCCCCCCGGAGTGGCTGCCTGCGCCATGCAAAGCCTGGAGGGAAACGGAGGACAGGCAACCAAGAGCCAGGAGCAAGGAGGGACAAAGGCTCTGATCTCAATAATGCAGGGCTTGACATCTGAGCCCCGGCTGGACCGCAGCCAAGCCTCATAGACTCTGGCCTGCCTCAGGAGACGGTTTTTGTGGCCCTAGGGGTGGCAGCATGGAGTGAGCAGTGTGACCCTGAGAGAGGGAGATGTACGCATATGCTTGTTTACAGCCCCCAGCGAGCATTTGTTTGACATATACTGTATACGCGTACATCTGAACATTAGCTTCACAGCTGCATTATTTGGGCGCACAATATGCCCAATATGGGTAGCAATAGCAGCTGCTACCAAAGTCTAGCTTGTGCCAGGATGAAGACGCTTCATACATATAATCCTTTCTTGCAGCAACTCTATGAAGTAAGCTCTATTATTATCCCTAATTTATAGGTAAGAAGACTGACTCAGAAAGCAACTTCTCCTAGGCCAAGTGTGGTGGTTCACATATGCAGTTCCACCACTTTAGGAGGATGAAGTGGGAGGATGGCTTGAGCCCAGGAATTTGAGACCAGCCTGGATGACATAGCAAGACCTCATCTCAAA